GATTAATGACAAAGTGAGCAAATAATTGTAATTACCTTTTTTTTTTTTTACTAACTAGATTTCCCTCCACACATACAGGCTGTGCTTGCCTGCTCACAGAAATATATGGCAGGTTCAGCAACTGAGGGAGCTGACACAAGCGTGGTCAACCTGCGCTGTCAACCCGGCCGGTGTGACAGATCAACTGGGGACGAGATCAACTGGTGACAGCAGCTGGAAAACCGCTGATTTTTGCAGATGTGTCTGTGGGCGGGGCTTTTCAGGATCCCTCTCCCCAAATCGGAAGTAAACTGCGTGTAGACTCCAAGAACTACAAATTACTGTGTTATCTGATCGATACGAAATACGTTGAGATCCTAAAAAGTCACCATCACAAAGGTATTTCCTTGCATTAAGAAAGCATATAGCATGTTTTAGGGATTTCTCCAAATCCGCACACAGAGATTTCAGGAACTTGTCCTGCTGTTGTTTATCTGTTTGTTTCAGAGCTTCAGCGATGAGAGAAAGAACCGAGTTGAAAAACCACAGAGAGCTGTATGAGAAGTAAAAACAGCCAGTGCAATAAAAGGTCAATGGGAACAACTACCGGTGTAATATTGCCATTTTTTTGTCGTCCTGTATGTCTTGAAAATTAAAAAGAGCGAAAATTAATTTTTCCTCTTTCTGTTCTCCAAAGCGCCGACTGTTTATATGGAGAGAAACTAATTATTTACAGTCCAACTCGTTTCCAGAGGAGTTAAAAATGTCTTCAAAGTTTAAGATGTGTTGCAGGCAGCGGCGTAGGAAGCGGGGGGGTATGTCCCCCCCGAAAAAATGTACCGCAAAAAATATTGGATTTTGACATTTTTTTTCACTAGCGTGCCTTTATTTTGAAGGCGCAGCATAGCGTCACGTCACTGTACTCCCCCTCCCCTCTCTGAACTGCTGAGTGAGCACTCAGAAGGGAGGGAAACAGCAACACAGAAGTCAGAAACTTGTGAATGAGGTAAAATGGTCTGTCGGGAATGCTGCTATGAATATTGCTTATTTATAACGTCTTGTTGTCAGTTCACTTTCATATATAGAAACTGGATCTTTTGGGTTTAGTCATCTTAGACTTGGGATGATCACTCATCCAATATTTAACTGCTAACTTTCTCCAGACCAGGTCACCAACGTGGTGCCCGTGGGCACTAAGGGGCCCTCAAGGCCAACATGGGGTGCCCTCAGCATATTTTAAAAACAGAATAATTCACCAGTGGACTAAATCTGAAATGTTATTTTTTTATGAAGCATTTTATCATATCAATAAATTAGAACATTTGAGGATTTATATGGATTTCATAATGAGAATATCTAAAAGCAAATAAAAAAATAAGAAGAAACAATAGAAATATGTTTATTATCTATGAAGTTCAGGTGAACGCCGACTCCTCTAGTTCATAGGTCAGTATTGGTAGCCCGTCCTATGACTCAGTACCCATAAAGTAGCCCTCAGCCTTAAAAAAGTTGGTGACCCCTGCTCTAGACGTTTGCTACGTACGGAAGCGTATTGCATTCACCGAAAAAAAAAATCTGACAGCTTATCTCATAATTACGAGATATTATCTCATAATTACGAGATCAGATGTCATAATTATGAGATAATATGTCATATTTAGGAGATCAGGAAGGACAGCCATTGCTGATCTCCACTACATGAAACGTGGACAATGAGTGGCTTGTTGGATTTAATATGCTTTTATTTCCTTTTATGTATGTGATAGAGGTCTACGGGGGACAGATTTTCCAGTCCCGCTCCCATCCGCACCTGTAATAGTTTGTCCTGCTCCCGCCCGCAATTCCCGCATGATTCCAACGTTCGTCTACTGCTCAAGGCAAGTCGTGTCATTTGTTTGAGGAATTAAACACGCAGTGCTTAGCTGAGCACATTACTGGCCGATTCTTCCCTGCAAAGTGCATGACGCCTGTTAGGTTGCACAAGCTGCAATATTCAGCACATTGTGATGTGTGTATATATATATATATATATATATATATATATATATATAGACATAGACTGATCATTTATGACTTTATTCTACATTTTATTTTACGATTTAAGAATAGTTTTTAGTTCGCGGGACCGCTGCTTATCACCACTCCCGCCTGCACCTGCAATGAGCTTTCAATATTTGCATCGCGGGACTCCAGCGGGAGTGCAGGGCTCTAGTATGTGACACTGGGAAATGCTGAGTTTACTTAAAGTGGAGTGAATTAATTTTAATTTGTCAGCATTGTAAAGTAAGTCCTTAGAATGTTTTTACGTGAAGAAGCCTATTATGACTGCAGGAGCAATTAAACCAGCACGGGCTGCTATGTGGTTGTAAATGAATGTGTCTGAAAACCATTTTAAGCTAGCTTGGTGGTGTCACATAGAACTGTCCATCGATAATTTTTCAAAATCCTAAATCCGTTTATTAAACCAAACAGGAGCGCAGAGCTGCTCATCAGCTGCGGACAGGTCCAGGTAGAGAAGCGGAAAGAATCCATGAATCAGTCCAGAACAGATCAGACTAACAGACGGGCAAAGCAAAACTCTGGATCCATAGGGCAGAAACAGGTCACAATCAGGAAACACAACAAGATACAGATCGCTAGTTAATCTCACCAAACTGTTAGAATAACCTGGCGCCTACAGAAGGCAAGTACGCAACATAATAGCTGAATAACCAGGTGGAAATGATCGGGGTTAATCAGCAGCAGGACCAATTAAACAGGGGAGCAAAGAGGAAAGGGAAAAACTAAACCAGCAGCGCTGAGATCATGACAGCTTCAGAATCTTTTAAAACGACCAGGTCCCAACTTCATGCAGCATGTCAATTCATATAAAAAACTAAAACCAAACAGAATGTTGACGGATTTTCATGTATGGTCATATCGCTGCATGCTTACTCCACAAGTAGTAATCCCAGGGTTATAGATGGATTTATTGATGAAGTGAAAAACAGGAGCATAACTCCAACGCATATCATGTTAGACCTGCATAGAACTGTTCAGTGGAACGGATGTAGATATTCTTAATAAGTAATCATGAAGACCAGTTTTGCGAGAGATTCTACATTACAGGCTCAAACATCTCGTAATTATGAGATAATATCTCGTAATTATGAGACAAGATGTCGTAATTATGAGATAATATCTCGTAATTACGAGATACTGATCTCATAATTATCAGATAAGCTGTCAGATTATTTATTTTTTTTGGTGAATGCAATACGCTTCTGTAGCTACGCTAGCCAGTTTTTTTTTTTTAAATATCAAATTTCAGTACAATGCCACCACCACCTAAAAGGCTGAAACAGCAGCAGGACTTACTCCGCCTTTTTTTTAAAAGAGTAACGTCGGTGTGAGTAACAGTCACACAACACAAGGGCAACACCTGTGTTGTTGAAATTAGCCCGGTCTGGGCATGCGTTTTATGAGGATTTTTTTAATTTTTGCGTGGTTTTGCTTCGCCGAAATAGACATATTATACCTGCTGCGCTCCTGATTGTTAGTTAAAACCACAAGGAGAATTAATTTTAATTAGCAGCAGCAGCTGCATTGGTACTAATTAACCAACTTATTAACTTCTGCAGCTTTATTTCCTCAAATAAACAGCTTTCTCCTCTTTTTAGACAATAAATAGATAACACAATATTGACAACTCTGTAGTTTTCTCTGTTCTGTACTACAAACTGGAATTAAAGGCGCCATTTCTACCAAAGTTCTGGACAGACTGGCGACCTGTCTAGTAGGGGTGTAAATAATAATCGTTTTTTATCGATGCATCGATCCAACAGCCGATGATCCGATGCATCGATACGTCCGCAAGAGAATCGATTCATGTTTTTTTTTTCTTCCGGTCAATTTTTTACTTTTTTTTCCTGGCCGTAATTCTGACTCTCGTGCTGCGGTGGCGCTATACCTATTTTGCCTTCCTACCTCGCTTGCTTTAGCCACACCCTCTTTCCGCTTGCACAAACTCGCTTCAACAGTATGCAAAACAAACATGGCGGAGACAGCGGAGATGAAAGAAGAGGTAGACAAAAGAGTGAAAAAAGACGACGACTTACACACACCTCGCGGCGGGTACAAGTCCTATGTGTGGAAGTATTTTGGGTTCCGTAAGGATGGAAAAAAACTGCTGAAGGATATTGCTATCTGCAGAGCTTGTCGTTGCGAAATACGCTACTGTGGCAACACATCCAATTTGTCTGCTCACCTGAAAAGACGCCATGATGTCCAAGGCGTAGAAAAAGTACAGCCCTCTTCGTCGCCACTGACAACATTTTTCCCGGAGAAGTTTTCACACAGCTCTAAGAAGGCAAAGAATATATCCAAGGCAATAGCGTTCTTCATATGTACAGACATACGTCCATATTGCGTTGTGGAGAACGAAGGCTTCCGATACCTGCTCGACACACTGGAGCCGAGGTATTGCATTCCATCGCGAATCATTGATTCCAAAGTTATATGCCAAAGTTCGTGATAGTGTAATTCAAGAGTTGCAGGAGGCACAGCGCGTAGCTGTAACCTGTGACGGCTGGACTTCCTGCACTACAGAATCCTTCATCACAGTAACATGCCACTTCATTAACCACGAATGGGAGATGCAAAATTACGTGTTACAGACGCGTGTGCTGGCAGAGACACATTCAGGAGTTAACATAGGACACGTCCTACGAGCTGTGTGTGAAGAGTGGGGTCTGAGTAACAAAGCACCAGCCCTCGTCACGGATAATGCATTAAATATGAAGAGGGCTGGGGAAGAGTCCGGGATGTCACCCCACATCATCAACAGTCTCAATCTGTCCACTCAAGATGGCCTCAAGCTCACAGCCACAGACAGGCTTTTGGGTCGAGTTAGGAGAATTGTGAGTTTTTTCCATCGCAGCGCAATAGCAACCGCAGTGTACAAGGAAAAGCAAAAACTGCTTAACCTCCCGTGCCACAAACTTAAAGCGGACGTAAAGACAAGGTGGAACAGTTCATTCGAAATGTTAGAGCGGTTCCTGGAGCAACAGCCTGCGGTGACGGCAACCCTCCTGGACAACAAGCTGAGGAAAGGCGGAAGCGAGATTCGCACTCTCACGGAAGGTGACCTATCCGCAGCAGAGCAAGTGCTTAGCTTGTTGGCCCCACTGAAAGCTGCCACCACGCTCATGTGCGAAGAAAAGCAACCCACAGTGTCAATCATCGCCCCCCTCAGAAAGAAGTTGCTGACACATTTTGAATATACACCAGACGACACTCCCTTGATCAAAGACATGAAACGAGTCATGGCCGAGGACCTCAGAGAACGGTATGTGAACGAGGAACCATTCTTACTCCGAGCAGCTGCTTTGGACCTTAGGTTTAAAAAGCTCCCATTCCTGAGTGATGAAAGAAGAAACCAAACCTTTGAATGTATTGCTGAAGAAGCAGCACAGCTGAAGGAACAGAGGGTAGGTTGTTTATCATCATATACTTTTTAAAATATAGTATAGCGTTTATTTATTTATTATTAATTGTTTATAGTTGTAGTAGTCGTTGGTGGTGTGTCTGTGTTTTAAGGTAATACACGGAAAAAAATAATGCATCCGCTTTAGCATTTACTAGTTATTTTTATGCCCTACCCTGCTAACAACACCAAACAATTGTGTTAAAGTAACTAAATATTATTAAGTAAATGCCATAAATGGTTGCATTATTTTTTCAGTCTACATTGAACTGTTGGGTGTTGTTCTTATGTAGTATTAAGTTGGTGCTTATGAGTGTATATGTGTCTGTGACAGTTACAGAATGAACCAGAGGTCCAGGCCCAGGAAACACCTCTCCATGCCCAGATGTGTGATGAGAGGGAAACGAAAAGTATGGAAGGTACTGTTCTTACATTCTACAATTATTCAGAAGCATCATAAAAATCCTACTTAAACCTACCTACTCATGTTACATACACTTCATAAATATTATATAGACATATTATATGTGCACATTTTCTATATTTATAAACACACACACTTATGTATGTATATAATATACTAAAACTGTTCTATATGACTATAGCCTACTGCCATATTATACTTTGACTAACTATACTCCTTCTGTTGTCTTATTTTTGTTTAATTTAGAAACCCCTCCAGTTTCCAAGAAAACAAAAGTATTGGATGACTTGTTTGGGGACTCCTTCAGCACTGAGGACCAATGTGCCAGGAAGAAAACATCCAAAGAGCTAGCCAATGATGAAATTAGGAAGTACAGAGATATTGCATCTCTGAGTTTGGGTGGTAAGGTGTTACAATGGTGGAAAGCTCACCAGGCCGAGTTTCCTCTCCTGGCCGACCTGGCTCAGACCTACTTGTGCATACCTGGTACAAGTGTACCATCAGAACGCGTGTTTAGCACAGCAGGGGACATAGTGCGTTCAGAACGTAGTGTTTTGTCCTCTGAGCATGTGGACCAGCTGATTTTTTTAAAGAAAAATCTGTCAAAATGCACAATTGAAAGTATTGAACTGTAACAATGCTGTAGTTTAATGTTACAGCTTTACTAACTGTTCTGTTTTTCACACAGAAGCATTATTACTTTTAAGTGAATTAAGTAAATGCCTACTTTTATGTTGCTAGTGCACATTTTGAGTCATTTTGCTGACTTTGTGGAGTATGGCCTATGTTGTTTTATTTTTACTATTTGTTACTAGTGCACTTTAAGTATTTTATAGTGATTTAAGTACAGGGCATTTTTTGTTACCATTTGCTGCTAGTGCACTTTTGCACTTATTGCACTGATTTTTTTATTTTTTTTTGGAGTATTGTTATTCTATAGTTAATGTACTATAGGCCTGTTTTTGTTACTTAATCTGCTAAGGCACTAATGCACTCATTACTTTAAGTTTTGTTGAGCATTGTCATTTTATAGTCAATGAAGTACTTTTCTACTTGTTATTTGCTGTTGTTTCTCAAATAAAAAGCCTAACGTTGTTACAGCTTTTATTGATTTATTTCTAATTTGAAGGTGAAAAAAAAAGAACCAATTAATCGATTAATCCAATCGAATCGAATCGTATCGTGGTGTATTCTTGAGTATCGAAAATAATCGAATCGTTGGGTCAGGAAATCGATACTGAATCAAATCGGCATGATGGGTGTGATTTACACCCCTACTGTCTAGGGTGTACCCCGCACCAGCACCTCCAGACCCCACTAAGGAACAGGGTGTACAGAAAATGGAAGGATAGATGGATTTCTACCAAAGGTTTAGGATGCGTTTTTGAACCAGATGCTTCAAAGCGCCCTGTCCATAATTCTTTAACACACTGTCAGCTCCCTGTCAGAAAGACTTTAGTTCAGAGTCCATGAGATAATACTCTGAAAGGATTTTAATCGATTGATTTTATTTGCCTCTGCGATTAACTCTGCGTGTAAAGTCTGTAATGCGACAAATAAAATGTTTTGTTTGATTTAAAATTGGCCATGTTAGGATCAAGAGCTGTACCTCATTTCTGAAACCATCTCATATGTTTAGGAGCAGCAATGCAGGGACAGCACAAAGGAGACAGGAAAAGGAGAGGATAGTGCAACCGGGCTAGAGCCAGGAAGTCCGAGTGAGGGAGAGACAGGAGTGGAGCAACAGTTAAGATAGAATAACTCAAACCAGTAGATACTTCATGAGAGTCCACAAAAAAAGTTGAAAATTTTAATCTTTTGCTTGTAGTAAGTGTAGTTCAGGGGCATTGAGTAACATTCTAACTTTTCCTTCTAGGGAGTTCAGACTAGGGACACACAGCTGAGAGACTCTGAAGTCATTGGACAGAGAACAGAGCCAAATCAGCCACATCCAAAATTCATAGACCCTCAAGCTCTAGCCAACAGAACTTTACATTTTCAAGAAAAGTGATACAAGGAATTTCCCTGGCTACATTATGATGCAGTGAAAAAGGGCATTTTGTGTTTTTATTCCATGGCATTTTACCAGAACAAACTCACACCATTTGGTGCAAAATCCGAACCGGCCTTTATCACTTCTGGATTTAAAAATTGGAAAAAAGCATTCTAAAAATGTAAAGCACATGAAAATAGTCACACACATCGTCATGCTGTTTCTGTGACTGCACAAGAAAATCATCCTGGAAATGCCCAATTATCTAGTGCTTTGGCAACTCAGCAAGGTGACAATAGTCACTGTCTGGAGAAAATTGTGAGCTCTATAAAATATTTGGCACGGCAGGGACAAGCTTTGAGAGGGCATGACGATGATGACAGCAATTTGTATCAACTGTTGAAAAATCTGACAGAAGATGATGCCCTTTTGGCTAAGTGGTTGCTGGGGTCTCAGAAAGAATACCTAAGTTCATAGATACAGAATGAAATCTTGTGTTCTATGAGCAATAGTATTGTCAGTGAAATAGCAGATACAATCAGAAACCTACCAATTTTTGAGTTTGCAATTATTATGGATGGAACACAGGACATTTATGGGAAAGAACAAGAAAGCATTTGTCTGCGTTACATTGACAGTGACATGAAGCCCCATGAAGAGTTTATTTGTTCGTACTCAGTTTCTGAAACAACAGGAAAAGGTCTTGCTGCTGTTGTTAAAGATGTGCTGCTCAGATTAAACTTACCAATGCATGTTTTATGAGGTCAAACTTATGATGGAGCAGCCAATATGTCCGGGAAGCATGCAGGTGCACAGGCACTGATAAAGCAAGAGCAGCCACTAGCAGTTTTTGTTCATTGTGGAGCACACTGCACTAGGGGTGGGTCTTGGGAAAGAAGTCATGATTCGATTCGAATCACGATTCACATGCCACGATGCGATTCTATCACGAAGCATCACGATACTGCGATATTTTCACTGAACACTGTAAGAAAAAGATACAGCCCTTACCAGTGGCTGACTGGCTGGGTATGATCTGGATAGTGTCTTCAATTGATACATAACTGAAAGCAACTGAATTCATACATAGATGTATTTATTAAAACAACTTTTGGAGGTGTTGCCATGAAAACAAATACTGGACACAAATATTACTATTACTGGTGTGGACACACTGACAAAAAGATCTTAGGATTCATAAAACTTAAAATAACAAAATAAGGATAATCATTGCCGTTTACATGGCCTCAGTGGTCCTTTAAATCAATGAAATGAAAAAATTCAAATGTATGACATTTCCCCTTTTGCAAATTACATGTATCATATCAATTTAGTTTTTACCTTCTTTGTTTTTAAAGCCTAAATGCATCCAAGCATCTGACTTGAAATGTGATGGAGCCGGGCGAATTTTCTCAAGTGTCCTCCATGTTTTGTTTACGAATGACTCGTCACAGTATCCCGCGGCCGGAAATGCTTGTGACACAAAGCAGCGGGCGTCAACACATCCGCAGCGACATCTGCTGGACTGGAAGTTGTATTCCACTTGGTTTGGCTAATGTGTGCCAACCATTCATGTATTTTATTTGTTCATTTTTTTAAATTAAGAATCGACACTTGGCATCAAGAATCGATGCAGTAGATCACAAAAATTTGAATCGCGATGCATCGTCACAACGATTATTTTGCACACCCCTACACTGCACTGATTTAATTGCACAGAAAGCTTGCTTAACCTCAGTTCTGACCAGAGACCCATTGGATTTCTTTTCTCTCAGTCAGGGAAGTTTAAGGCAATCCATGCAGCAACAGCACATAGAGAGAATCTATCGTGCACTGCAATAAAACCCCTCTGTCCCACAAGATGGGCAGTAAGGAGCAAAGCAATCAGATATGTTTGTCACAGTATAGGTCAGTGCTGGCTAGCTTGCAGGAGATGTCTTCTGGTGCCTCAAACACAGCATCCACTGCTAGTGGACTGCTGGGGCAGTTTAGGAAAGGTAAAACAGTTTTTGGTCTCATCCTTGCCTCACCTGTGATTGATGAGCTTGAATGCCTGAGCATCTCTTTCCAGAAGAGAACTGAAACCATGCTGGAATGAGGACTGCTGTGAAAGTTGTTCAGACTTCACCTAAGGCTAAAAGAAATCAAGAAAGTTTCAACACTCTGTTTAAAAAGGCGATGGCTGAGGTTCAGTCTTTGGGTCTTAAACCCATCACAGTTACACAGAGAAGGCCACCCCCAAAACGCTTCACTGAAGGTGCTAAGACACATCAACCTGAATGTGCCAAGGACCACTACAGAGGTGAATTCTTTAAAGTATTGGATGTTGTAGATACACAGCTCACTAAGCTATTTAACCAGGATGACTTGCTGACTTTGCAAAAGTTGGAAGAGACACTCAGTGGAACAATTGATGCTGCAGTCATTGGGAAATACCCAGAGTTGAATAGAGAGTTACTTTCAGTGCAACTTTCTATGTTTAGACTGAACTACTCATTTAGCAACAGCGCAGAAGCTGCAGGGCTCATTGATGGACTGCCTGGAGAGGTCCGTAGACTTTTTGGGCAAGTGGAAACTCTGGTTTAGGTTGCTTTTGGTAGTCCCCGTTTCATCCTCTGAGGCAGAGAGAAGTTTCAGTGCGCTTCGTAGACTCAAAACATGGCTCCGGTTTACAATGACTCAAAACAGGCTTAATCATGTTGCTGTCTGTCATGTACATAAAGATAAACTTGATTTACTGGACAAGAAGTCAATTTGCAAGCAATTTGTGGCTGGTCCCAGCATCCTCTGTCTCTTCAGTGGCTGACCAGCTCCGCTGTCCTCACACAGAGATGGAATAGACATCCTGGTCCAAACATAAAACGTTTCATTACTTTACTTTGTAAAGTAATGAAACTGACTGATGTTTTTATGTACTTTAAACATTTTGTTAAACAACAGAATTTTTTCAACAGTCTGGATTAATACATTGACTTTATCGTAAATTCAAAAGTTTTCTCTTTGAGTTCACATGTCTATGATCATCTGATAGATAATAATGACAATTTCATTCATATCTCTGTAGTTTCCTTATAGGCCAGATAAAGTGCTCTATAAGAACAATTTACTTTGAAGGCGTTTCTTTTACACTTGATTGAGTAACTACTCTGAAAATAACTTTCTGGATTAATTTAATAAGATTATTTACCTGATCTTGAGCATGTTGTCTCTGAACCACTGAAGGAGAGCTTTAATCCAGACAGGTTTGATGTTCCTCTTCTGCAGCTGGTTGAACAGCATGTCCACATGAGGCATTATTCTGTGGAACAGTGCCAGAAAAAAAAACAGAAAGCCTCATCTTCCAGCATCCTGACAAAGCCCCCAGCCTCTCTGGTAGTCTGATTGTCAAAATTGCCCGAGTCTCTGATGGTCTGGAAACACTTCAGCAGGTCGTCTTTGTGCTCATAAACCGTGTTTACCGCGCGGCTGTGGAAGTTCCAGCGTGTTGCAGAGGCCTTGGGCAGTCTATGAGAAACCACCTGATCCAGTACTGCGGTTCGCTTTGATGACCTGTAGAAGAAGGCAGAAAATCCAGCCAGGTTGGAAAAATATGTGCCAATCCTGGGCATGTGGGATGTCGCCTGCTGCATGATGAGATTCATCTGATGTGCGTAGCAGTGGATGTAATGGGAGTTTTCATAAGTTTGGCCTTCTGTCCAT